ATAATTTGCCAAACACAGATACAGATAGATGAAAACAAAAATAACTACCTTCTTCAGCTTCTCCTTCTTCTTCTCTTCATCTTCTGAATCACTGCCATCAGAGCTGTGCTTCTTGTTCTTTTTGTTCTTCTTTTTCTTCTTCTTCTCTTTCATCTTATCTCGATGCATCTGGGGATTACGAACATTGACATAATGAACATTAAATTAGATCTACATAAAAACATCATAATTGACAGGAACTGTTATTGTTATTATTTTCCTCAGCGTCACTTACTTCCAGCAGAGTCTTGGGCAGTTCTTCCTCCTGTGGCTCAGTCAGTCCTTCTTCAAACGGGACACATTCTGAGTTGCTCTTCAGATTACAAAGAGAACAAAAACTTCAAGTTACAAAAACTGACCTACTGTGTGCTCCAACCCGTCCCTTTGAACCCTGTCAGTGCATATACTCACTATTCCAACTCCAATTTCTCCTGTGCAGTAACTCTGTTTGACCATGGAGTGACAGCACTTGTATCCCCAGAAGCCATCTTTCCAGAAAGAGCCCCAAATACACTAAAGACAGGAGATTTGTGTTTAAAATACAAACAAACCCAAACGTGACAAATTTTGTGAAGTCTTGGACATTCTTCTGCAAGGGGGAGTGTTCTCCTTGTCCTTACAGTGTGGTTGTTGATGAGCACATCCTCCTCATACTTGGAGCGAGCCACAGCCTTCTCAAGCCCCTTCAGTACTGCACCGTGCCGAGAGTACTCCACGTAGTCCTCCGTCTGGGCCAACAGCAGCTCCCGCGGCGGTGCATCCAAGTGCTCTTCACCTCCATACTGATTGTCGCACACAAAAGCACAGAAATCATCAGTGAAGTCTTCAGCCAATATGAACACGTAAACCCCTACACAGCGTGCAATGTTGGGCTGAGAGAAATATATTGAATTTTTGATGACATCCTCTGCTTGCATCAAAGCTGATATTATACAGTCTGATACAGATTGTGGCCTAGATTCTATAAGACCCATTTTGCACAGTGTGACATGCAATTAACAGCCTGCTGCAAAAAAGAAGAAGAAAAAAAAAAAAAAAGATGGCAGCTGTGTACCTTCTCTAGGATGCTATCCCGCTGTTTCTCTTTAAAGTCCTCCTTCTTGACCTTGAAGGACTTGTGGAGCAGCTCCAGCTTGGTGGGGTCGGCCTGCAGATGCACTTCAGAGCCTCTCTCATAGGCTTCCCAGGCAAACACTGTCACAAGATGAAGCAGTGGCTTTTAGTAACAAGCTGCAGTTCAAATACATGTTTGAGAGTGAATGTAAATTGTGTGAAAGCAAAGAATTTATGACATTTACTATTTATTAAAAATCGTGATCCATCAAGTGCCTCATCTCGTATTAACCATGTTATACAGAACACTAGACATACTTTGGTTGGAAAGATAATTCCCATAACATTCACGGTCTTGATTTTTGATATCAGTAACAGATAATGAATCTGTTAGCTAAGGCGAGGTGACTTCAGGAAGGTACTGATAAAGTAATTACAGGATATAACTGACAATGCAAAAGTAGTAACTACTGATTTGAGCAAGCTTTACCATCTGTGCCATAGTGCTGGGTGATTTTTATAAACTGCTGTAACGCTACTATAGGCAGCCATATTGTTTTTGTCGCAAAGAGAGCTTCAGTCGGGGCAACCTGTATAGTGTGTATTGATAGGGGAGCCCCATTAACTGCGTACCCATCTTACTAACTAACTTACTTTATAACAACAATTAATAAACCAAAACAGGGAAAAAACCACGGCACACAATGTGTTACTATTCGTTTCGTACTTGGCAAAGCCCATCACAAACAATCAATTCGGGGTTCGGTATCTTGCTCAAGGACACTTCGACATGCAGCGGGAGGAGCAGGGGATCCAACCACCAACCTTCTGATTAGTGGCCGCAGAATACTGAAATACTTTTTTTAAAGTCAGTTTATAGTATTTATACAACTCTTTTAAAATATTTTGTTTTCAAAAGGAAGCAATGTTTAAGTTGTCGGCATATCTTTATTATTAAAAGTTCTGGTTTTGTTTTTTTAAAGATTGGATTTTTTATGCCTTCATTTGATAGGACAGGTGAACATAAACAGGAAAGGGGGAAGAGACTTGAGTTTGTTGCTACTCACTGTACTTTTAAGTTGATGATCAACTAATACTTCCAGTAGAAACTATACCCCCTTATCACTGCGGTAGTAAAAATGTACAAAAAGCATTTTTTATAGAAATAAACAAATAATCCTATTAAGAGAACTGGAAAATATCTCATTGACTTACGCTGTGTTGTGGCCATGGTGATTGTGTCCCCAGAATAGCGAGCAAAGTTGTCTCCAGCATAGCCCACTCTGTCAAACAAGTTATTATTATTATTATTCTGTGTAAGCCAGGGACCATTTTTGAGCAATCAGTACATACACACACAATAACTTACTCGTCAGGATTCATGCCAGTGTTGGAGTACGGGTTCTCTCTCATAGCTCGAGTCTTTGGATCGTAGTATGCTGAATTTGGATCCAAATTCCTCAAGTACTGCGAGAAACAGACATGAGAAATTCAGATTATTGGGTTCCTCTGCGTTAGCAACAGTACCTCAACTCTCACTTAAATCAACAGCTTTAACTGTGCACATTAGGGACCACGGTCCACCACAGAAAAATAAATATAATCACGGTTAGAAAGCTCGGCATTGACAAAAGACCTGCGTCTCTTACTTTAGCTGTGTCTTCTCTGATACGCAGATTCCTGACAGTGATTCGTCTCTTGGAGTCAAAGTTCTGACCAGGCATGTCGATGTCATCTGCATATTTATCTTCATCCTCATCCTCACTGTCGTGTTCCCGCTCCTGCAGAGAATGGATTTAACAAATTAAATGGTGTCCATCTTGGCAAGAGACCGCTTTTTATCTCTTAAATTAGATGACAATACAATATAGTAACAAAATCTTCACACATTACTGGACACTTACAGTTGGGTCCAGTTTTCCAGAGGCCAACTCATCCTGAAGCTTCTGTGCCTTTAGGGTCCTTTTGGCCTGAGAAGCAGAAACAAATACAAAGTCAGATTTACAAATATAATTATCTTCTAAAAAAAAAAAAACAAGGTGCAAAAATGTATTAATAAAAGCATAAATTTGAACTAAACGAGTTAAACCAAGCCTAATTCACCACTTACCAGATCTACTTTGGCGTACTCTTCCACGATGCGCTGGTGTTCCTCTGGATCATACCCGTTCCAGCGGTCCCGCTTCCCATCATAGTCCAAGTCAAGCTGTACCTGATCGTGTTCATCTGGAGCTATGCTTGTGCCTGTGAACTTTGCCCCAACCTTTCTGGGTCGCTGATGAAACAAAAGTGAAGGTCAGAGCTTAACATTATTTACCTTGAATCTGTCCCATTTATAATTTCAGCCGACAAGACTCTGTTGAACACTATTTATTATTATTATACATCAAACACTCAGGAAGCTCTCGTCTCTTGGGGCAGAGAAAGCCTTCGACAGAGTTGAGATGGGCTACTTTTTCTACTCTCTTGGGAAATTTGGCTGAGATAAAAACTTCATTTCATGGATTAATTTACTTTATTTATCTCCCCAGGCCTCAGTCAGGACTAAATGAGCAGTCTGACTATTTTCCCCTGTTTCTTTCACATAACAACTGATACTGCTCAACTGGAGGGCCAAAAATCCTCCATCCCACTTTCGTTGGATTACAGATGTTCTTTACTTGAATGTATTTGTATTTTTTTAAAGAATAATTATTATCATGTTGTTACAGCTACTATTATTATTATTATATTTTACATTTTTATTATTCTGTTCTTCTATTGGTTCATGAGCGTACACTGATTGTAACAGCCATCTTGTTGCTGTAAATATTCTTTGTAAAACAGAATAAATGTGGGAAATAAACATTATTTATCACACATATAATATTATTTTGTGCCATTAAGACACAACGTATATGTGTGTATATTGTACAGTAATATTGTCTCTACTGGAAGATGAAAGATTGGTTTGTCCACTTTACCTCCAAGCAGTCCTTCTTCTTGTGTGTCATTGCACCGCAGTTTTCACAAGCTCCTTTACGAAATTTAGTGGTGACAGAACCCTTTCAGAGAAACAACAAAAAGAGCTATTAACTATAAAGTTCATTTGTAACGTCTAAATGAAAGTAACTTACTGACGCACCCTCACCTCTTGCACTCCTCTCTTGTACCACTCTCCAATGGAGGAGTATTGTTCCTCAAATTCACTCTGCGGCCTCTGATGCTTTAGCGTTGGTCTTTTGGATGGGTCGATGTACCATGGCACTGATGAAATATACTGTGGTATGTGAGGGTTGATGTCCCTGGAAAAGAAAGGAAGTGTCACAAGTGGTTCACATTAATGTTACAACAGTAGCTTTATTGTAAATATAAACTATAAAAACAGGCACTTCACCTATTGTACACACAAAGTTTAGTTACAACCTGGCAGCGTTACATTTTAAAGACATTTTGCCTCATGGACATCATATGGAAAGGATGATGAGAAACAACATCAACTCAAGATGGCTGTGTGACGCCAGAGTAGGTAAAAAACACTGCATTGAAAATATAGAACAAGAAGTATTACATTTGGGTTTAATTCCCTTCAGTACTTGACTTTGGATGTCCATGCTTATTATGTATTTCCATGTATTTTGGAGCTTTGAGTTTCTGGTTTTAGAGAGTTTATTAGTCATAATAACCATCTGGATATTGATATAAACTGTAATTATGACACGATTCAGTATGATAGGAGGTGTTTTAAGTCTTCCAGCTTCATGCAAGTTAAATCCTAAACAGTATTTGAAGTATACTTCAGAGAAATGGCATCACAGATCATCCAGATGTGAACAAGCTCATTTCCTCAGCTGCTCCGAGGTCTCTGTGCAGACATACAACTCACTTCCCCTCCTCGTCCACCTCAGCTGGAGCGTTTCCCAGCTTCCTCTGCTCCTCCAGCTCCTTCTTCTTCCTCCAGTCCTCCCTGGTCATCTTCTTGGGCTCGTCCAGGCCCACGATCCCCTCCGAGCTGGTGGCGACGTTAGTCTGCTCGGCCATGACTGCACCTGCCGCCAGGAACACACCTCATAAACACCACAGCCAGGGGTTTACACATAACACAATATACTCTTCCTCTCACTGTGTCCGCCAGCAGGGACAATATTTAATCCACACTTATAAAAGTCGAAGCAGAAGCTAAGGTCAGCTGATTGAACGCTGGATAAGTGCTTTATCGTTTATGCGTTGATTTGATTGCATAGCTTTCTTACCTTCCATCCAGCAGCGGTGGTTATTTCCTTCGTATGAACTGTAACTCTCTCGGTATTTTAATCTGTGTTTGGACTCGTCGCTTGTGTTTTGACTAACACACGACGGTGGCCATTTTACAGCGAATACAGCCGCGTCACTTCCCTTCTTCTTCTTCTCCTGGAGGTTAAAGGTCACACCGCCACCTGCTGGGTCGGAGTGCAAGGACACTGCTGTGTACTGGGTTTTGAAAATACAACTGAACTTGCTAATAGGGTTTTTTTTGGGGGTGGGGGGGGAACAAATTAGTTATTTTAGGTAATTATTTCATGACTTTTGTTGTATACCCCTCAGAAAAAAACATAGGTATGGACCGTCAGTAACCTCAGAGCTGGCTGTACCCAATAAGAAGTAAGGGTACTCATGTGGACAAGAATCAGAAGTGATGGTAACCAGTAGTGGTGACTGCTGGCCTATTTCAGGCAGTCAGAGTGTGTAGATTCATGGCTTAAAAACCACCGCATTATAACCACGGAATAACCTCCAAATTGTTTCCTTTGTTCTTTTAGAGTAAATAAGTACAAGTACACTCTGAAAATATGATGAACAACCTGAAATGTCTTGAGTGCAGTTTGAACACTATGTCTGTTTCAGTCAGTCTACTGCCCAAAACGTTTATTCACATGTATTTTGGAACTGAACCCAAAAAACAAATAAATAAAACAATAAAAGTCACACCCTATTTACTAATCCTGCCTGTATCATCATCATTATTACCAACCCTAAGACCCCTAGGTTTTATGGGTAGGTTTATGACCTTTTTGTGCTTTAATGTGTGTTGCAAATGTGTAGATTTAACATTTTAATCAAATTCTCCCACAAGTCTGCAGCCAGGTAGTATTCTAGCATACAAAATAGGGTCATCAACCCCCCTCCCCTCCAGACTTAGTAAATCACTCTTTTAATTGTTTATTGTGAATCAGTAGAAAGTAGATTGTAGTTTGACACCTGACTTCAAGTCAGTTATTAGCCATCCACACTTTATGGGAAAAAAATAGGACACAATTTGTAGTAGAAAGCTAATCAGAAAGATCACAGGTAACGTGAGCACTAATAAAATGACTGCTGTTACTGCCTGCTTATTTATCGAGTGTGCACTCACAAAATATACCAGGATGAAGCAGCTAACTTTGATACAGCACCCTGACTGTTTTAGACAAGATTTCTTATGCCACATGTGACTGAAGGGGGACGAAATACCGGATACCAAGTGAATAAGTACTTAGATTTTATTTTCTAACATAGTGAATGGGACAGCAGTGATGGATGCAAAACAAACGTTATTTATATCTGTGACGCATTTAGAGATTGTAGAATGTCATGACTTTTTTTTTTTCTCTGTGCCACCGATCCTGAGCTCTGACCTGACCTGTTTGGAGGAAAAAATAGGATGAATTAACGGAGAGAAAAGGCTGTTTTTGTAGTGAGAAGAATCATCTAAAACCTCGATGACTCCAGCGGGTTTATTTTTGCAATCCTCAGACTCACCAAGCAGGTATTGTTGTGCTTAACTGTAACATGAGAACACTATTCTGATCACTCTTGTAATCAAAAAAGACAAGGTTAAAGACAGTAACAACAACATAAGATGCCATTATGATGACAGTTTGGTCTGGTGTAACTTCTCACCTTTTTCTTGTATTCCAAACATTTAAAAAAAAAAAAAAAAAGGCCCAAAAAAAATGTAAACAATGTTGAGAGAACAAACAAAAGAGCATAACAGCACCAGACACAAATAAACATATTGACAGAAGTATAAAGAGAAGGACTGAATCGGTCCTCGAGCCTTAGCACCAGTACAGATCCCCACTGTCAGTCCAGCAGTCTGGGGTTGAGAAGGCAACGCGGTACCAAAGTGAAGGCAGTGTCGCGTTCAAGTAGGTACCAAAATATCAAACTCTCTCAGTCTTTTTACTAACTTTCGTGTCATTTGAATGTCTATTGAGAGTTTTTGCTGAGTAGTTATGAAGGAATGGATGGACTGAGTCACTTGTCGTCGTCCTCCACTCTCCCCCACTCCTCCAAGTCCTCCCCCTCCACCTCTCCATCGTCAGCATCTTCGTCCACATAATCCCCCACGTGTCCCCAAGTGTCATACACGTCCCCTCCTTCGTCGTCCTCTTCGTCGTCCTGATCACCTCCGTACAGCGGCTCGTCCTCCTCATCTTCCACTATCTCCATCTCCTCCATTTCATCGTCTTCCTCCTCTGCTTCTTCGTCGTCATCTTCGTCTTCGTCGTCATCTTCCACGTCTTCCACGTCTTCCACCTCCAACCCACACACCTCCCCGTCTTCCACCTCCCCGTCCTCTCTCTCGTCCTTGGAGGAGGTGGGAGTGGAACACGCTTTCCCTTCGGTCCTGTCTGGGAGGTAAGACCTGTTGGAGGGGATGAAGCTCGAGGTAGCAGTCTTTGTGTTGATGTACAGACGAGGAGGAGGCCCTGGTCCGGCCGTCGCTGCCTGGTCAGAAGGGGAGGAGATGGGAGCAGAACCGGCTCTTCTGGAGTCTGGGACCAGCGAGAGAGGCCCAGCCATGGACCCGGGCCTCATGGAGGTCGCGTTGGGCACGTATTCACGGATCTCACCCGGCTCCAGCGGGTCGGGCCCACAGGGGTCGTGTTCACTGCAGGACAGTTTGCCATCCAGCTTGGAGATGAAGAGCATGCCTTCACGATGCTCCTTACAGTAAGAGCTGGGGCACATCTCACAGAACGAAGCCGCCTCTTTACCACAGATGTCACACTGGTGCCATGGACACTCCCATCGCCCTGGAAACAAGATCACTGTCATTACTAACTTGAATATATGTTGGAAGATTTTTGACATCTTATAAAGATCATAGACGTCTGGTTTCCCAAATCATGGTTGCTAAAAAAAAATATTGCTGTTTAATCCACTTTCATCCAAATTCAGCCCAATAATGACAAATTTAAATTTGTCCATATTATGATTACTGAAATCTGACAATTTTATAGAGCTTCAAAAGTTTAATTTAGTATCAATTCCTTAAATTATTCCTTTATTATATGTGTTTATAAATAAAATATAATTTAAAATATTTCACATTCCAATAAAACTACACTTATATTAGTACTTTAAATTGGTTGCTGGTAACGTTAGTTTTCTGTTAAATAAGATTCAGAACCTTTATCAATCTCCGCCTTTCCTTCTCCCAGTGTAATGTGTTTGTAATTGTATTTTATTTGTTTGAAAAATGACTACTGCCCAGTGGTCCCTGTTCTCTCCTTATGACCATGTGTGCTTTATGATATTAAAGAACATAAAAAGTCTGGCTACTCAATAATTGAGATTACATAGTGCCTCGTTTAGTAGCATAATATGGGCACTAAGTCGTCCTGTAACAGCGCTACTGTAACCTGTACTTGCCTGCAGGCCTCTTGGCCAGGTTGAGACAGTCAGCGTGATAGACCTTTGGGCAGCCTGGCTTCTTACAGGACACTATCTGGCCTCCATCACCACAACTGAAGCACTCGTCTTCCCTCTCCTTGGTGACTTCTTGCTTGGTCTTCTTCTTTATGGGGACCTTTCGCTTCCCCTCCTTCAGTTTCAGTTTCTCAGCTGATGGCTGGTTCTGAACAAGGAAATGAAGAAGTTACAAGGCCGCTTGTCTTCCAAGGTGTAAATTTAGGCAAAGACGGTCGGGGGATTATTTGAAAGGCAAATGTGTGCTCGCACAGCACTAAAACTGTGCGAATGTAGGCTTTTACCTTCGGCCGGACACCCAGGAAGCCGCTGCAGTTGGGTGCTCCACATTTACAGGCAGTTTTTCCATTGCCAAGACACTCCAGGTTGTAGTTGAACTTCAGCTCCTCATCTGAAGTACATGTTGTATTAGATATATGCTTGGATGTGCAGATAGCATAATAATCTGAATTCTTAATCCTACACAGTATACACCACCAAAATAAAAAAAAAGTAGATTGTCACTCAAACCTTTTGGGATGTCTTGTAGAGCAAACAGCCCCACCCTGGTGTCCCCATTCACAGTCCACTTCTGGGTCTCACAGTTTGGCTGGCAGCTGTGATTCATGAAGCGAGCCTGGTTCCCTTTGGGCCCGGCATCAATGATCCGGTCCTGAAAGAACAAAATACAAAACTGGTTGATGACCTACATTATGAGTCAAGTATTTCGCTAAGCTGTATGTATAGAGGATTGTGTTTGTGGTCATCAGGCTCTAAATCACCTTGTCCAGTGTAAGCATGTAGAAGTTACAGATGTCGTTCTCCTGGGCGTGTCTAATCCTGGCTCGACATTCTTCTTCGTCTATCACCTCTCCCACATATTCACTCACAAACGCTCCCTGAGAAGCAACAAGAGAGATCATTAATAACAGAGACGGATTAATGTGGGTATTATAGTCGTACGCTGATGTGATTTCTTCTGAAATACCTTCTTGATGTCCGACACAGCACGTAAACCCCAGCCGCAGTTTAGTGTCCTGTAAATCTCCACAGGTGTGTACTGGCGCTTTGTGAAGGCCTGGTTCTGACATCGCTCCCCTGCCGCACACACCTGAGGATGGCACTCGTACATCAGCATGCGATTAATGCACTCCGAGTCGATGCCGCACGGGTTCTCGTCAGACGCCTTACAGTTACAACGCGGGATTTCGGACAGGTCAGCGGTAATGATCTGCACCTTCCCAACTGGCCGGTTTACCTGAGAGACAGAGGCAGGGGTGTGATTTTTTTTTTTTTTTTAACTGTACATCTCAGTGAACTTCTCTTAAAGTCAGGCTAGAAAAACAACTATGTGGTGGCACACTGTACCCTAATGTGCCTGTATGGAGGAGGTTTCTTGTCGTTCTTCCTGTCCTCCTGAAGCTGCTTCATTTCCTTTTCTGCCTGGAGCTCTTTGAAACGGTCTGCTGCTTCCATCAGGGCTATAAAGACAAAACATTTCTTAATCACTCAAAATTAAGACTATTTCTAAACATCAAAAGCAGGAACATATTATCAAATACAAACTAATACAACTATTAGAGTTCCTACCCTTTTTGTACACTGCATCTGCACCCTTTCCCATTTTCTCTATGTTTTGAGTGTCCCCCTCCATGTAGGGGAAGACTCTGGCCTGGTATGTCCACACAAAATCTTTGGAGCCAAAGAATTGCACTGGGAACTCTCCCACCTCATGTTTCATCCTCAAGATGTTATTTGGGACGTCTTTGGTCAGACAGACTTCTGCAGGCCACCACCTAAAGAGTTAGATCAGGTTTCAGAGATGCAAATAAGGGCACATTAGCTGTTGCATAGAGATGCTGTGTGTGTAGTGGACGAAATGTTACGCCCTTACCTGTAACGTCCCCATTTGACCCACAGTATGTCCTTAATACGAGGCCTCTTTCCCGCTTTGCAGTCATTACAGAACCAGCTGCCCTGAGGCATCTCCATATTCAAACATTCCCGATGAAAAGCAGCAGGACAGGCTTCACAGCACAGCAGACTGCCCCCTACAAGACCACAGCAAAACACACAACACACCGATTAGCTTATTTCATTATATATATATATGTTGCCAAAGCCCAAAGTGATGTCTTCATATTGCTTATTTTGTCTAATTAACACTCTAAAAAGTATACTATTTACAACAATATGAAACAAATAGGGGAAATCAAGAATTGTCATCAACTGTCAGCCGATCTGCTGATTGACTTCAACACTACAACTCACACGGAGCAGTGACAACGCAGAAAATGAAGACAACACACAGGAATATAAGGAAGTGCGTTGAAGTTACCTCAACTGTGACTGTGCTAATTTTCTTTAACTGCATTAGTAACGATGTATAATAAAACAACAGGTGCTAATGCAACTGACATATTGCTTTAAGATTGCCTGGCCTTTTGAGATCCTGGGTTTCAGAGATTGATTTGTGGGTAGAGACAGCGTACAAATGGAAAGAAAAGCAATTTTACAGATAAATTTGCCAAAGGGGAGCATTTAATTGGAAAATAGGATGCAGCATAAAAATTAATTTACAACACATTATGCTCTCCCAGAGAATAAAGCATAGTGCATTTCCCCAAAGCAGCCATGTTTATTTGATTAACATTTGAAACATGGGGACATTTATTGGGGGGTTTGAAGCGTATTCAGATCCGAGTTATTATTTTCACACATTTTTGCAGGATCGCGGTAGTAAAAGTGTTTTGATGAAAGGTTAAAATGACCGTGAAACAAGACCAGACTTACCCTCAGAGCAGACAAAGCACCAGCTAACGTTGATGTGTTCGTGGTTTTTGCAGCCCTTGCGGGGAGTGAAGTGGTTTGGACAGAGAAAACTGTTGTTTGCCAGCACCAAGCTGCCTGCTGCCATGCAGTTGTCATTGGCATGATAGGCCACAGGGCAGCGTAAGCATCGAGCCAACCGACCTGAGATAAAAATACAGAGGAGCAAAGACAGCTTAATCCATGCACATATGGACATTTAATTGAAGATTTGTAACAATAACCAGACAACACACTGTGCTCTCAGTCCACTGACTGCCTTGTGGAGCCGATTATCAAAAGAAATGGTTCCAAAGAGCACAAGAAACCAATCATTAAAATGTGCCAAGTGTAACAAATGCCTAGTCAACTGAGCCAAATCCTGTGCAGCAAGTGTTTCATGGGGTTAGGTCAAATTGCAACAATCATAGACAACACACACTGTTTCAAAGATGTTGTGCAAAGAAGAAAGAATCTCAGGCTAGCTCTGTTTCTAATGGCTCATGAGCAACCATGCCAAAGAGTTATTACTTACATCCTTTATAATAGTTATAACACTCCAATTATTCAACCGGCCCAATGGTCCTGATAGTTACTCACTCAAAGTAAATCCTGATATCTCTGGACATAAAACTGGAAGTCTATTAATATGTTATCCAAAGTAACAGAGGTGGAAATAATTAAAGATGATGTGCAGATAACAGAAAACTGAGAACATTTCAAGCAACAAAAGTCCTTGAAGGACTCCAGGAATGTCAGATTAGAACAAAGTTGAAGCTAACGGTAAAAACCATGTGGATCCTTTTTGCAGGACAGTAAACATACACATTGTTGCTAAGCAGGTAATAAACGTAGTCGGGCTACAGTATGATATATAATTTAGTTGGTTCGGGAGCATAAAGCATCAATGTTACAAGAAAGATGACTTTACTCCTGTGGTCCTCAGATCTTAGGTTGTGAAATCTGTGAAATCAACATTTATTATTATTAAAATATTATGTGGTTTAAACCACAGGAAAAACTTAAGTGTACCTTTAGAGCTGCAGATGTTGAGAGGGTTGGTGATATGGCAGGAGAGACAGACATGCAGAGGGCAGCGGAAGCCTTTGTTATGAGGCTGGGTGGCTGAGTAGGCCAGTATACAGTCGGTGTGGTAGAACTTCCCACACAGTGGTATCATGCAGCGCTTTACCCCGTTACCAGACTTTTTACACACAAAGCATGTGTGAACACCTGAAAGCGACAGAAAAATAAATCATTTGTGAAGTATTTCAAGTACGTAAGGACACAACATTTATGATCAGCGACAGATTGCTTTCAGCCCCGTGTCAGACACAAGGCGTACCCACCAGTGTTGCATTCACGACAGAGGAATTTTCCCTTGGGAGCCGCTGACAGGCCAATACACTGCGGGTGAAAGGCTCCATAACAGTGGCCGTCACACACCAGCAGGTCTCCTGTCCTCTCACACACCTGCACAAACATACACATTAATGCAGAATGAGAAACATACTCTACCTGTTACACATAAAGGATGTGTCGACCCTATTTTGGTAGATTATCTCACCTGACAGACGTTCTCCTTTAAGGATGTAGCTCCTATTTTCCCTTTTACATCCACTTGGGAGGAGAGGCTGTCATTCAAACCAACAGACAGCACCTACAGAAATGAAGAAATCAAGCGTAGCATTACACTCATGGATCCAAAGATACAGATTATTTTGACCAATCACTTTATTAGCTGAACTATACCACATGCCCACCTCAGGTTTGGGAGTTAGTGTTCCAGTGTGTACATTTTGTTGCTCCTCAGTGCTGCAGGCCTCCATCTCTGCTTCCTGCTTGGGGGTCTTAGATCCTCGAGGGCTGGGAGGTCTGTTTGGAGTGAGGCCCCCGAGGAGATCTTTGCTTTCTGCGTGCTGGGAGGCAGCATCAGGGGCAGAGGATGTGCTGGGTACAGGCTTCTCTTTCTTCACAGATCCAACCTATCCAAAGTGAGATTTCATTGTGTTTAAAATATGTTTTTAGTATTGCATTGTTTGGTGGGATATGAGGATGGGGATTGTTTTTGAGATTGTGCTTTTGTAGTACCTGAGTTTTCTTGACTAACACTTTCACCGCTGAAGTAACTCCACTGTGTCGCTTTAGCTCCTAGAAAACAAACAGATTGTGGGATATATTCAATGTTTTTATACTAGTTTAAAACACTAACTGGACTGTTTTTGTCTCCCCCGCCCCCTCCCCTCCCTCACAGGAGATATCTGGCTAGTACACTCCCCCACTGCCATTTGAGTCCAGAAATACCTTCTTCTTGGTAGCAGCAGCCGACACTTCTTCTATGGTACATTCCATCACCTTCTGCGACAGCTTTCTTGGCCTCTTTCTTTCTTGGATTAACCCTGTGTCTAAAATAAACATAACACAACAATGCATCATCTATTCAAAAATCACTATTTTAAATCTTCTTTCCTGCAGCACCAGTCTATTTTACATCATACTGCAAGATAGTTGATACTGGAATTAACACAATATCCAGTAAGAACTTATTTACCAGATTCAAGAGGTAGATCTGTTTTTTCTGCTGTCTCTGTGTCAGGGGAGGGTTGTGTTGTGGTTGGAGATACTGAGGGTGCTACAGGAGAGAGCTCATCCTGAGATGGACTCTGTTCCAGCTCTGACGGGGCCTCAGCGGGCTCTACAGAAGACGAGGATGAGGTCGAAGCTGAGGTAATTACTCCTGGTGTGGTGCTGAGATCGTGGAGTGCTGTCATCCCTGATGTCTGCTGCGTACACACATGCAAACGACGGAGCACCATTGGAGTACATTAAATAGGTAGTTTTGAATTGAATACACAATTATTATCTAAAGCTGAGCAATTCACACATGACTTATTTTATTTTGTCTGTAGGATAATAGTTTCATATTTACGGTTAAATCTGAGAGATATACAGTATGTCTGTCTTTTTGAAATGGATAGTAAAATATGTCTGAATGTACAGCAATATAATGGATTTCTCCTAATCAATGCAGGGAAACTAAAAGAAAGAGAAACATCATACCATTTTGGAAGATTCTGAAGTGTGTTTCTTTGAGTTCTTTTTTGGGACAAATATTTGTTCATACTCCTCGGTTGACTCCAGGAGCCTTTTAGTCGGTTTCCGGAGACGTTTGTTCTCTGAATGTCCTGTGTAAACGCACAAAAAATACATTTACACATTTATTCTTTCGGCGGACACTTTTGTGTGTCCCTGAACACAACAAATATACAGGTAAAACTTTTTTACTAATTTTACCATCTCGGTAAACTAACAAAACCACAGCCGCCTGTGTCTTACCGGTTGTGCTGCTTGTCTCTGAGAAGTACGAGTCATTCTCTGCATGCTTCTCAACTCCCAGATCCAGGTCTGGTGACTCTCTTGTGGTGTAAAACCCATTCATCTCAGTAGACACCTCACTCTTAACTTCACCCTTATTCCCAGCACCCTCCTCAACCAGCTGCCAGTGCTTCTTTGGAGCCACTGCGGATCCTGGTTTCATATCGAGGTAGCTGGCCGAAGGATCAGCAGTGACGAGGGGGCGAGACCCGGGATCGGCTAAGTCAGCGTGGCCACTGACAAACTCCCTGCCGTAAGCCAAGTCAGCCAGGTCCGAAGAGAGACCAGGTATGCTGAGTTTCAGTTTTGCAGGTAGAGTTTGTTTTCTACGCTGCTTGTCTGAGCTCCTGATCTGAGAGTGATTAGGAAAGTCTTTGCAATGGTAGGTGTCAGCTGTCATGATAGCTTTAGTCCTGTTCTTGGTTTTCACTGCTCTGTTTTGGGATGCTGTGGATTTCCCCGACTGCCCTTTCTCTGTTTTTATCCTTGGAGCGAAACCATCACGAGAACCCCGGTCTCCTCTTGTGGAAGTAGGAATGACCAGGGGTTCTTCCTTGATCACAACCGGTGATGGCGGGAGAGTCAGGGGTTTACCTTCTTTTTCTCTCGTGTCGTGCATGTCTTTCAGGAGCATTAGGAAGGTACTGAATTTATAATTGGAATCAGGCCGAAATGCCGTCAACTCAGAGTCGCTGCTGTCCTCCTTCACAAGAGATTTAAACGTTAGTTCCTTGGGATCCTGGAAAGCATCCATTGGAGACAGAGAGGAGGATGGGGAAGAAGATGATGGCCGATCTGGGACAGTGTTTTCTGTCTTGATCTCAACAGGCTGCACAGTGGGTACGCTTGACCCTACACACTTGGACATTATCAGTGAGCCGTTACGAATTTGTTTCTTATCAGGTTTCCTTGCGCGCCTTTTTGGAGAGCTGTGATTTGTAGAGGATGGTGCATTGCTGGGGGATTCCCAGTTAGGAGACATTTCAGTTTTGATGGGCACATTAGTAGGTGCATTATCAGAAGAGTCATCAGCATGGACTACTGTTGAGATTTGGCTTGCAGCCAGTGCATCTGTGTCTTCCTCCGCTTTCAGAGCCCTTGTCATCAAACGACTGCTGGCAGGAAGGTTCATCGAGTGCTTTTCAGTCGAACTGTGCGACAATTCATTACAGCTGCCCAAACTCTGTTCAGAGTTTGTATCTTTAGATGTCAATTTTTTTGTTAAAATGCTAGATGAATCACAGGAATCTGTAATATGGTTCACTTTTTCACCTAACCTTGTTTTAGCTTTAGTTGAATCCTGTTCTTTTCTGACTAATCGGTCCACATCCTCTATTGGAGACACTGCTGTGCGTTTAGGACGATGCAGCATTGGAACTGAATCCAGGTCCGCATAAGGTGAGTCCTCTGGCTCTTCTTTCAGTGCACGACTTGTAGTATGAAACTGATCCGCCACACTCGTGATAGTGGATGACTCCTTTGATCCACCAACTATATGGCCAAATATATCGGACAAACATTTCTTTTTCTTCTTACAAGCTTTGCTCTTATTGGATTGAACTGCAGCAGAGTTTTTGATTAAATGGGTTTCATTTCCGTTGGGGGCCATATTGGGTGATGGGGGTCGACCAGGTTCCACAGAGACAGAGGGGGCCTCCTGTGGCTTTTCAGTAGGGCCTGGGCTGGGCACACGCTCCTCTCCATTGACAGATATTGAAAGCACGCTTTCAGTATTCCTTTGTCGATGTGGGAGCAGATACTCAGCTTCTGTCACACTGACTTTCCACGCAGTCAGTAAACTTTTGGGTATCTGCTAGGAGCAGAAATAACATTCAAAATAATGATCACAATAAGATTATGTGATATTTTTCTGGTTGTTTTCATTAATTTACCGTATACTTGTAGTCTTTCTCCTTCTGCTTCCCTCTCCGTCTAAGCACAGGTAGGTCTTCAAACTGATGACCTCCTTCGAAAGGAAGAATGACATTCCCGGGGACCCATGCTCTTTCTATAATCTCCCCAATCGTCTCCAGGAAATACATCCGACAGGGACGGGGACTGGGAACTGAAATTAAAACAATGGTCAGCTTATTAATTATTTTTCACAGTAATTCTTTTCCTTTGGTGTTCACCTTTCAGTAAAGGTCAAGTTATGGAAAACAATCTGATTATAAAATCCATACTAAAATCAAACCCTCTCATGAATGAAACCTCACCTTTCATCTTAGTGTGGCTCCCCTTGTCTGGGTCACAGGTAACATGGCAGGGCCACCAGGGCCGTCTGTTGAATTTAGCCCACACCAAGTCCCCTTCCACGTATTTCACAGTAGGAAGAGCCTTTTTCTTTGGGCTGTTGGACTAAACAAGACAATGAAAATACTTTAATATACAATGCAGAAAACAGTGATGCTGTTATCATATAGCTGGTTATCAAATCCAAATTTATGTCACGTCTAAACTGACATTATGTGTAATAACAGAGACTTGATTTGCAATATTTACTTTAGCTTCCCAATTCCAATGTTTCGTGTTCATATTTTAAAGTTATTGCTCCCTAAATACAGTGCAATTAATTTCAAGATCAATAAAATTATACTTAAGATGGCACTGTCAGAAGGTGGGTCCAGGTTCAATACAACTATACTCAAGTATTCCTTCAGCGTATGCAGACCAGACGACTAAAAGATACACTTTGACAACATCGTGCAGCCTTAGTTGTTTAGAAGTTATAGAGAAAGTATTCCAGATGTTTCACACTCACATTAGAGTTGGTCCCTGCTGGTGAAATAAGTCCAGGGTCAACAGGAGAGGCAAGTTCACCATCACTGTCTGATTCCTCACCAAAGCTCCACCCATCTCTCTTAGTGATATCTGGCAGTGCGCTGGGGCTTAGTGTGGGGTTGAGTTCGGATATAGTTTTGGACATTAGATTAAAAACAGTAGGTTTGTATGTTCTTTTATCCGCCCCTGAGCTGCACGTGCTCTTACTGTCAGTAACAGTTCGGTCCTGACTCAACTTTGGGGAGTGGTGAAAGGGCGCCAGGTCCTCGCTACTGCTGAGCTCCCCGTCCTCGTCCTCCTCCTTAATGTCACTGCTGTCAAACAGCGTGGACTCAAAATGCAGGTAGCCATTGGGGATGGGGGAACAGTGCTCCAAACTATCAGAACTGTGAGGCGAGAAACCATTTCTGCTCACGTCCTGCAGAGTCTCCAAAGGTTCAATGTCATCACTGCCCGGAGAAGGGGGCAGCTGGACCGACGGTGCCTCAAACTCATCGTCCTCGTCGTCACTGATTGGACTTGCACAGTGCAAGTGGTTCCTAGGATGGAGGTCCCTCTCCAGGTCAGGCCTGTTGACCACAGTGTTCAGGTCAGGCAGCCTCTTCAGCGGGCTGTAGCAGTGAGATCGGTCTGGCTGGCTGTACCCCAGTGCAGCAGGCTGTTTGAGGCTGGAGGATGGAGGTTGCACGGCTGACGGTTGGTCTGACCCACGCCTCACAATGCCACATTGGTTTCCATAGGAAGTGCTCACAAGACCATTGTGGGGCCTCCGCTCTGGCTGGCCTGAAGCAAACACTGAGCCCACCCTAACAGCCGGTCTGTATGACTGATTCATGTTGTCACGGCTATATCCTGTCAAAAAGAGAAAAAAAAAAAGAATAAGACACAATAAATAAGGGAAATGTGGCATTCAAGTTTCTCACTGTGTGTTGGGATTATTGAGTCTTGTGTGCTGTACAATACAATAAATCATGCCGACAGACACATGAAAACATTGCGGAAATAGAGCGACAATCATACCGAGTCCGACATAAACCTATAAAGGAGCAAACACACAAACACACACACACACACTCTCACACACTCACATAAGCCGACATTGCATGGCCTCCATACTAGAGGGCCGGTCGGACGGCACAAGACAAAACACAGAGACTACGCTCGCTCCTTTACCTGATAGTTTCATTCACAAACTATCAGAAAATAGTGCCGCTTTGTCTGATGGCTGCGGGTCATGACGATCGTTGACTAATACAGTCAATGGAGGAGCGCGGAGGCTGTAGTAGAGGTGGTGACACTGAGCCATCACAGACAGAAACAGTCAGTGGCTCACACAAACAAGCTACAGCCACACACAGACATAGGAAGCTACTATTAACTCCAAAAAAAAAAAAAAAAGGCTGATCGGCACTAAGTTCACAACACTGTCAACACGTGGAAAAACGCGAAAAACTCACCATTTGGAGGTCGGTCACCGTGAAACCAACAGCGGATGTTTGATAATGTGGCACAGAGCGACTATTTTTCTCGGTTTGTGAAAGCGAATCTGCACAATCCCAGCTGCAGCAGCACTAGTAGGCCAAGGCACAGCTCTCATTCTCTGCACTTCATCGCCTCATCAGCGGCGGCCCCCTAAAAAAACTGTCACCTCAAACGCAAAATAACAAGTAAATATCCATTGCGCTGCAACGCCATACAGCGGCAAAATTCAGTGTGCCACAGCCGGTTCCCAGCAGCTTATTTACTACATGATTTTTGCCTGCTGTCGAAGTGCCCCACGGTTATGTTAAAACAAGCCCTGACTGCAACCAGCAACCAATCGGCACTGCTACCCAACCCCCCCTTTGCAGAGGGCCGTGTCACTAACCCCTCGCGTTCACTCACAGGCACGCACACAAACACGCAAGTGCACGCGCACGCACATCCAGGTGGAAGTTTCTTATAAATAAGTCACTTGTGTTAAATAACACCTCCGTGATATAATGCGGTCAAAAACGGATGAATGGCCCTGTTTTTGTTTTTATTTTTAGGCTATTTGCGCCTATTTGTGCGCGTCTGATCCATTGTTTGTTTGTTGTTTGTCTGTGCTGGTGCAGGCCCTGGGTGTCTGTGTGCAGCCGCTGGGGAGATCGAGAGAACAAAATGATTGCATTGCGCAAACAACCACACGGCCTAACTCCGTGCGCCATGTTGCCTCTCCACTGAGTCCTCTGACATGAGGAAACAGGCCGCTAGGCGCTCAGGAAAAGAAGATAAAGAGGGAGTCGGTGTGGCTTTAAGCGTGCGTAAAAATCAGGTTTTTACTCCGATCTCAAAAACATAAAAACAGCCCAGTGGTCGTCGCTTCCAGCTTGCCCCTCACATAAGCCTTATAAGGATTTTGGTGCGCGCATTGCAAATCAAATGGATACACACGCAAAGTTAGAGAGCACAATAGGCTCGCTGCAGCGGGCCAGTCCTTGAAGATCAAACAAAGACCAACGCAGTTACACGCCGACTTGACAGCAGAGGAACTTACCTCTGTGCTGATTTATACAAAAAGATATAGTACCGGGGTTGTGGGCTCTAGGTTGGTTCGTCTCCCTAACCTTTTATTGGTGAATGATCCAGTAAACACCAGATAGATACAAGAAGGAACTTATTCACCCACCATAGCTGTCTGGCGTTTACATTAACACTCGGCCCTTCATTGGTGTTATTTTAACCGAGTCTGCCATCACACTGCGAGGCCACGTCCAAAAAATCATGATCATAAACGTCAGTACGCCGTACTTTCATGTAACAGGAGGTAAATAAAGGTATTATTACAAGGTGATTACTGTTGTATGGGGACACGGGCCCCCCTTGTGTCTGCATGGAGAATGACATGCTTTTAATTTGACAGGAAATAGTTATATGGAAAAGACTTTCTTTATTTTATTTTGGCTTCACATACAACACATTAGCATTTATTACATATTCCACAAAGCTTTTTTTTTCTGTTTTATAAAGTGTTTTTTTTTCTTCTTCTAATGAACAGCATAACAACATACATGTAAATCTGTTAAGTGCTTATCAAGTGAGTTTGAAGACAAAAACAGGCTGTTACGATACAAAATCAAAAACTATACTCACAAAGTGCAGAAATAACAAATACTGTGTTCAAAACGATATTATGCGTTGAGTTTTACCGGTTAATTAAAAATGTATCGCAGTGTTCCCATTTTTAGGCTTGATGCTAGGATAATATCACAAAATAAAACACATATTGAACTGGACGACACGGAGAGGACAATTACACATCCACATATTTATGCTCAGGAGAAAAAAGCAGATTTGATTGGCTAGTTGTTACTAAAATGCAATTATTATAAATGTAGAAAATGTCACAAGAACCCGGCCATAGAAATATTAAAGCAGAGTAAGAGAACGTGTACCAATTCAGAGGAACAAAATGCTGATTGGGGGGGGGAGATCCACTCTCCAGTGAGGTTCAAACCACAAACTGATAAATACATCTTTGCTTATACTGATTGGTGTGATTAAATTCATATGCATGCATCTCTGCCCAACGGGAATAACATACTTCTAAGTCAGTCATTTTATTATGAGAGGAATGAAGACAATGTTAAACAATGTACAATGAAAACTCAGAGCCACTTCTAAATGACAAAAAGTTCTTTCCTCCAACATCTGAGAGGAATGTTTTTCCTAAGCATCCTCTTGCTCATGCACTCAAATCTTTATTTTTTTTTTCCTCCAAGCACTAGAGAGAAAGCTGCAGAACTATTCGCTGGTTTCATCCACTTTGCCACTGGGCTCACAGAGGGGTCTTTTCTCCATCATGGCATATGGAAAAGATGGAACATCACAGCTAGTGAAGTCCAGTTTCTTGGGAACACTGCAGTTGCTAAAGTCAAGCTTCTTGAGCCGAGCTAGACTCTTGATGCTGCCGGGGGGCCTGCCGGGGCTGACCTTGTATCCGGCTGCTTTGGTGGTACCGAGGGGCCTCCCCGGGCTGGTTTTGAACCCAGCTGCCCTAGTTGTTCCAAGTGGACGTCCAGTACTTGTTCGGTAACCAGCTGACTTTGTGGTCCCTGATGGCCTCCCTCTCCGCCCCGACTTCACCATGCCCTTCTTCTTCTTAGAGCCATCGGGCCCTGCAGCCTCACCGCCCCTGATTCTCACTGTCTGAGCCTGGAAGTCGTTCTGGGCGTCTTGCACCTGACATGCCATGGCTTTGTGCATGCCCGGTGGCAGAGGGGCAAGGCCCGCAAGGGACAGTTGCAAACCAGGGGTTGTCGGAGAGGGGTAGAATTTATTGGATTGTGTGCTACATAGATCAAAGTGGCTGGCTGGATGACAGTCCTCTGCCAGTGCACTCATACAATAGTCACTGTTGCTGCTGCTCACTTGATGCATCATTTTCTGTTGGAGTGCAAAAGAAATATAAATATCAGATCGGACAGCCACACATGCACACGTGCAACCCCCCAGGCAAACACAAGCCCCCAAAGAAGCGTTTTTTTTAGTGGCTTACTTTTGGTGGAGCAAACAGGCCTCTTTTTTAGCGTTGCAACACAAAACATAAAGGATGTCAAGACAAAGCGAGGTAAACTACAGTTGTAGTTGGCATAAAAATACACACATATGGCATGCACAAAATTACATGTTAAAGCATTCCCCCCCGAAAATTTTAAACTATTTTACAGCCACACAATGAATAGTTCGTACCTTATTTGTTGGTGGATGCTGGGCTGGAAAGGGTTAATGTCGAATCGCATACATTTTCCTTCTCTGGCAGCCACAACATCTTCGGAGGACGCCGCACAAACTACGCCCTGGCGTCCATCGGTGCTGTCTTGAAGCGGGACTGCGATTTCTGGCCTTTATTTCATGCTCTTTTAATCCTTTGAGCAGAGGTTTAGATGAGAGAGGCAGCCATTTTCGCCTGGAAAAAATGTAATAAAACAGGATGCGCGGACCACGCATGCGCACACAGGCTTCCAGGAAACGCAGTAGCAGACGAGTGTCGGCCAATGTGGTTCTGCTAAATTAAAACCATATTAAACAAAGACGGGTCTTAATGGCAAAGGGCGGGCTTTGTGGTTACAATATAACCATGATTAGAAATTGACACTATACTGTCTGTAATTTACAATTTCTCTGCTGGTGAAAATGATAAATGACCTTGCACTAACTAAACCATGTTTAGATGATTTGTCACTGTGAGGAAATGTGCACTAAATGTGTCCCAATCACAACAACAATCAATGACAACAAAGAACAGTCTCCGTTTTTATACTTTTTATTAACATCCATAAGAAGTTAAGCACAGACACTGGATTTATGGAGCAACTGCAGTGCTAGAACAGGTAGCAATATACATTTAGTCCACAGGACTTAAGCTTCCTTGATGAGCTTGGTCAGCTTCTGAATCTTTGTTTTGGTGGACATGTCGACATACTTGTCTCCGATACTGACGATCATGCCACCCAGGATTGAAGGATCCGACTGTGAAGAGGAGACAACAGTTGAAGTTACAGATGACTCTTAAAACAACTTTACATTTAAATAAAGTCAAATGGGGATGTTTCTGGGATCATGCATTGAAACTGTACCTTAGTTTCCAGCTTGATAGTTTCACCCTTCTGAAGAAAGCCGTTCAGAGCTACTTTCAGGTCAGCAAGATTAGCTGCATCCAAAGGCTGAAATGAATAATTACATTAAAAATAATGCAACTGATTCATTTTAAGTGACTGATAACGTAATAGAAACTGTTTATTAGAGATTTAACAAGAATACATGTTATTTTTTATTCTTTTCATACCTGAGCAGTAGTGACAGAGCAGACGACCTCTCCACGGTGTGCACTCATCATCTTGACAAAAGCAGCGATAACATCACTAGTTACAGTCAGACGACCATTTTCAGCCAGAACGTCTGCAAAACAAAAAGTAGGATACATCTGAGCGAGATTCACTTATTTTTATTCCTCTTTATTATGTTATATTTATAACTTAAGTTGAGCAACCTTTATATGGAGAGAAAACATTATAGAGTACAGTATTCATACTGTATTACATCTGTTTAATACAACTGGTCCTGTTATACATTTCTTCACATGGCCTCCGAAGTACACCATGATCAATATCAATATAGCACCCGTATTCAGCAGTAATGCTGCTGTGGGAGTTTAATTGTGGAGCTTACAACTGGCCAAATGAAAAGCCATTTTATCTACATATTGTGTATTTCATGTTTTCATACGTTTCTAATTCCCCCACTTAAACACTGCACGTGTTTCATTTGCACTTTCACACAAATTATAAGACTAAAATACAAAACCAGTTGCAGTCACAAGGTCAGACAAAGCGTAGGTCCCTGTGACCTCCAGAGGTCCTCCAGAGGTCACAGGGACCCGAGTAGACATTAAGAACTGCCATTGATTTCAACTTGTGAGTGTGCCTATAAACTAAGTCAAGTACAAATATATATATATTTTTTTTTTAAGTAAACTGCACAAAATGGGTTTTCTATGCAGCTTTTATCTTCAGAAAACAAGACAGCAACAGAAAAGGGTTTGAATATACAATTCTACCCACGTCTGTATTGCATTGAAAGAACCCAACTTAATACATTTAAATTTAAAAGAAATTTAAAAACATTGCATGTTTAAGTGAACTCATTCTACCGCACATTACTTCTGAGAATAAATACAACTGTAAAATGTGAATTATTTGAGTATTGGGTTCTCTTACAAAACCAAAGAAAGTAACAGTATAGAAAATGTTTGTATCCAATCTTGTGTCTGCTGGTCGACGATCATCTTTTTATTATCGTTTATTAGCATTAGTGAAACATTGGTGGTTTACAATATGTATGACCACACTTTACTTAGAGCCCATTTTGGTGTACTTAGCTACGATTAAGAATATGTAATCCCATTGCAGAGGTAAAACTCAAAGCAGTAACAGGGCCACTTAGCCACGGTGCGTGCTCACTCACTGATGAGGTTGATGGTGATGGGTGAAACCTTAGCCTTTACAAGAGCAGCATTGAAGGTCTTCTGCTTGATGCTGCGCTTAATGTGAGGATTCAATACGATCGCAGAAAGCTTGGGGTCCTTGATGAGGGACTGAAAAACAAAATGGCACACAGCAAAAACTGAATTGATGTAGCAGAGGAACGTAGATTGCACTGAAACATTTGACTTTTTTTTTTTTTTTAAATCTTATGACACATTTTAAATGAATTTACAACAATATCCACATCACCTTGGGACAATATGTTGAAGAAAGACATCATCCACTGACATCAACATCTTTAAAAATGCAACTTGTGCGTCTCATTATTATGATTATTACTGTTTTTAGTGTCTTATTTTCTGACTTACAGAAACTTTCCCCAGCTCCTGCTCCACTTGGTCCAGATTGTTCTGCTTACTGGCAGCTGAGAACAGAGCAGTGGCATAGCGGCCCTCGACTCCATAAACCTGGATGGGAGGCTAGAAGGACATAAACACACACATATATATGTATTAACCATTTCTGATACAATATGTGACAACAGATGAGCCACCATGTTCGTGCAGTCTGATGTTATTTTACCCTGATCAGTTTTGCTGCAGGTCTGACCACAGACGTGCTGAACTGGCGGACCTATATATATATAAAAAGAGAATAAAGATGCATTATTTAAACACAGAAAACACAGAAAACACAGAAGTGGAGAGGATGAACTTGTAGCACGCTTTACGTTAAAGACAGATAGCTCGTAGGCTAACCCGTTAGCAGTCATTCAAGTGCAATGCTTCGTGTTGATTTATCGGGACATTCAGCGCTACCTCCCGGTCTCCAGAGTGAATACAGGACTTAATACACTTTATAACATTTGCAATTGTCGATGAGAACGATTATAAAATGATTAAAAACACAAAAATCATTGAACGTCTTACCTGCTGCCCTAGCATGAGTGCTGCCATTTTCTCCTACAGCTGTCCAGAGTAGAACATCCGACTGCGCATGTGCATGTGAGAGAGGCGTCTGGCTGTGGGTAATGTAGTCTTTTCAGTGCAGCGCGTTTTCACCGGTCTGGAGAGAACTACAAATGTTTAAAATATTTCACTATACTCATTCTGTCCCGTGGATAATGCTATTAATTTATAAAATCAATGTTTTATGTTAAGGCGCATTCTGACCTAATTTAAGCACATGGTAAAAAAAAAGCACATTTATATAACTTGTAGTTCATTAGGTAGATCAATCTTCTACGGATGGAATTAATTACATTTCTGTAAAGCTAACTCATGTTACTGGTAGACTTTTAGTTGACTCTGATTTCATATTTTCACACTTTACAGAATGAGTCCCCTTACTGAAAAAAATAAATCCTTAGGCACATTTGGTAACTATAACCTACAAATATACAAATATACATGCATGGGAAAACATTTTTTTAACTGAATGTATGTTCCCTCAGTAGGAAGAAATTCTATTTATTTATTGCCATTTATCAATATTAGCAATTTAGCCATATAGATGCCAGCATTCGTTTTGAGCCATGTCTGACGACCAGACAAATGAAGCATTGAATATCCACTCCCCTTTAGCTGTTTCAAGCTGTTACTGTTTACTATTTGGTGCAGGCCAGGTGTACAGTCAGTTTATCACTGCTTTGTTTGCAGAAAACAGGAAATATTAAATGAGAGCCATCAGTTGGGACTGAACCAGCTGATATTAATTTGCACTGACAAGTGGCAGGA